GTGGGATTTGCTGTTACATATTTGTACATATGCATGATATAGCAATATAATTTGATCAATATCTCACTCCCCAGTATTTTCCCTTTCCTTCAATGCATGTCATTTCTTTTTTTGTTGTTTAATTAGTTATACATGACAACAGAATGCATTTCAATTCATTGTACACAAATGGAGCACAASTTTTCATTTCTCTGGTTGTAAACAATATAGAGTTGCACCACATGTGAAGTCATACATAATATTCCTAGGGTAATGATGCTCATCTCATTCCACCATCCTTTCTGCCCCCATACCCTCCCCCTCCCTCCCTCCCTTTTGTACAAAGTTCCTCCATTTTTCCCATGCCCTCCCCTCCCATTATGGATCAGCATCCACTTATCAGTGAGAAAATTCAGCCTTTGGTTTTATGGGATTGGCTAACTTCACTTAGTATGATATTCTCCAACTCCATTCATTTACCTGCAAATGCCATGATTTTATTCTCTGTTAATACTGAGTAATATTCCATTGTGTATATGTACCACAGTTCCTTTATTCATTCATATACTGAAGGGCATCTAGGTTGGTTCCACAATTTAGCTATTGTGAATTGAGCTGCTCTAAACATTGATGTGGCTGTATCAATATAGTATGCTGATTTTAAGTCCTTTGGGTATAGACATAGGAGTGGGATAGCTGGGTCAAATGGTGGTTCCATTCCAAGTTTTCTAAGGAATCTCCATATTGCTTTYCATACTGGTTGTACCAATTTTGCAGTGCCACTAGCAATGTATGAGTGTACCTTTTACTCTACATCCTCGCCAACACTTATTTTTGCTTGTATTCTTGATAATTGCCATTCTGACTGGAATGAGATGAAATCTTAGAGTAGTTTTGATTTGCATTTCTCTAATTACTAGAGATTACATTTTTTCATATATTTGTTGATCAATTGTGTATCTTCTTCTGAGAAGGATCTGCTCAGATCCTTAGCCCATTTCTTGATTGGGTTATTTATTTATTTTTTTTGGTGTTAAGTTTTTGGAGTTTTTTATATATCCTGGGAATTAGTGCTCTATCTGATAAGCATGTAGCATTCTCCAGGAGTCTGTCAAATCTCTTGCCTCTGTAACAAGATGGCGGCTATTAACACACCTAGCGGGGATACCTCTGGTGTAACCAAGCCTGCAGGGGCCTTGATGATGGTCTTCTGGATCCTGGCTGTTTTCCAGCTGGATGGAAGCGACCATGTTCGTAGTTGGTGGTGGGGTAGTGTCAAACCTGTACATATCTTGGTGTTAGGCTTCCAGCCACCAGCCGGTGTTCCAAGATAGAAGCTGCCGCAATTGAAGATGGTGTTAGTAGCAGAGGAGATAACCTGAGATGGCATTGGAGGTGTCCCAAGATGATGGCTACCACTTTTAGAGATGGGGCTGAATGGTCAAGCCAAACAATGGCTTTGGGTGACCTGTTTGGAGATACAGCACTGTGGTATGTGACCGTGGTCCTCAGCATGGTTGGCAGTCCTTTTCCTGTGCTTGGGCCTGGGCGCTGCATTGCATAGTCGGTCAGTACTGGGCCTGCCTGGTCTCTGCGGTGGTCCGCAGGTCCTGGAAGAGGGTTTTTGGAGTCATAGAAAAAGGTCTATTTTTTGAACCAGTGTAGCAGCTTACCCCTTAAAAAGCAGTCAGCCTAGAATGGTGGTGCACGCTTACAATCCCAGCAGCTGGGGAGGCTGAGGCAGGAGGAAGGCAAATTCAAAGCCAGTCTCAGCAATTTAGCAAGACCTTAAGCATTTTAGCAAGATCCTGTCTCAAAATATATAAAGGACTGGGGATATAGCTCAGTGGTTAAGCACCTCTGGATTCATTCCCGGGTACAACAAACAAATAACAACAACAACAACAACAAAACCCCACTCAGAAATACCTACATGGAGTCTGGTAGGGTCATTTAAAACTCTCTTCTGTCATGGTGAAGGAAATAATATTTAATTTTCCAAAAGGATCCATCCAGACCGGTTGTATCTTTTCAAAYAGAGCTTATTCCTCATTTTGGAAAATCAAAAAGAATATGTTTTGGAACCATGACTTAACTCTAAAGATGAGAGGAGAGAAAACAAAAATTAGAAAAATGACCCTGGGAGTGGGCAGCTAACAGGTGAGCTGTACCACAGCACAGTTGCCCCCACAGCCTGTCAACAGCAATTGGACCAGGGCATCCCTTGACCTGGAACAAGACAGAAAGAAGGACACTTCCTAACGAGGGCTGATTGGGAGACAGACAAGGTGCCACTGCGGAAGGAACCGAATGTCCTCCTCTCTGGGCTAGTGCGGGCACCTGCAGCTTGTGAATCGATGCCAACCCCACCGCTCTGTGCACTTTGTTTCCTAGACAATGGTAATTAAGGCACCAACCCGCAAACTCTCCCACTTCCTGACAGCACCCAACTGGGAACAGAACCCCAATCACCTGCCGCTGCCCACACCCTGCAACAAGCCCCGCCCCCCAGCCTCCTCCTGCTCAGATGCTCTGTGGTTCCTGGGGTGAGTTCTGCCTGGTCGCMCAGGTGACTACACCTCAGTGTTCCCACTACTGTGTGCGTTCCCGCACACTAGGCTTCAACATCTGTCAACATGAGTAGAAAGGAAAGCATTCTCCAGGAGTCTGTCAACTCTTCTGTTTAGGAGAGGCTAATGTCCCCAGGGCCTCTATGCTACTGTCCTGATCTGGGCCACCATTGGCTCTCACTGGGTTATTGCAATAGCCAAAAGAAAAACATGAAATTTAGTAAATTTTTTTTAAACTAAAAAAATTTTTTTTTTGGTACTCCCTCCAAAAAAATTGAACCCAGGGGAACTTTACCATGGAGCCCTTTTTATTTTTTTATTTTGAGACAGGGTCTCACTAAGTTTCTGAGAGCCTTGCTAAGTTGCTGAAGCTGGCCTTGAACTTGTGATCCTCCTGTCTCAGCCTCCCAAGTCCCTGGGGTTACAGGCATGCACCACCACACCTAACAATTTAGCAGAGTTTAATGCAGCAAAGAATGACTCATGAATCAGGCAGCTCTCAAAACCAGAATAGGTTTGGAGAACTTGAACCTGCAATGTAGTCAGGCAGCATTTATGGACAGAAAATGGAAAGTAAGGTACAGAGGYAGCTTGATTGGCTGTAGCTCAGCCTTTACCTTATTTGAACATGGGTTGGCCTCCTGTGGTTGATTRAAGCTCAGCTGCTGATTGGCTGACTCAGCTACTTGTTACAAAAGCACACTTCTAAGTTAGGGGTTCAGAGAGTTCACAGTTAGGACATAGTTCACTATGTAGGACTCAYGCAATGGAGTCCGAATTTGGTTTTTAACACCTCCTAACTGTAATGCTTGCTGTTATTAGTGTCTTCCTCTTCATCTCAATATTTACCTTTACTTCCAATTCCCAGTTCTTCTCAGTACAGCACAAAAACAACCCTCTGAAAATTTAATTTAGATTTTGTCTATATTAAATTCCAGTGTCTGTCATCTTGCTCAGTGTTGAAGCCCAAGTCCTTACCTTGGTCCCCAAGGCCCTACATGACCTGATCCTCCACTTCTCACCTTCCTTCACTCACTCTATTTCAGCCTCAGTGGCCTCTGTGCTGTTCCTTGATCACACCAGGCCTGCTCCTTCCACAGGGCCTTTGCACTCACTGATCCCTTTGATTACTGAGCTTTTGCTGCAAGAATGTACATAGTGTGCTTCTGCATTTTCCTCAAGTCTGTGCTAAGCTGTCACCTTCTGAATGAGGGCCTCCTCAACTCCAAGTAAAATTATGTTCCCTACTTTGCCACTTTTAGCCTCTTGATTCTACTTTATTATTCCCTGTAGTGTTTTCGTCATAAAATATACCACATGGTTTACTTATTTTTCTCATTGTCTGATTCCAGTGGGCATGTGGGTAGGTACCTTTCTCTGGGTTGTTCCATGATGTAGCCCAGATCCCTACAACACGTGTAGCCAGTGACCCAGCCACTTTATGCCTCAGTATCCTCATTTGTAAAATGGGACAAAAATAATCAACTGTATCAACTGTATTATCTTTCATAAGTTAATATCTATAAAGGTAATATCCTGGAACACTCGAGAGAGCTATGCAATGCTTGCTGTTATTAGTGTCTTCCTCTTCATCATTTGTTCTTCTTCTTATTGTTCAGGTAGCAAAGCAGCATATACAGAGACATGTGCGTGCCCAGCAGAAAGAAGTTTGGGGGCACTGATGGTAGCAGCCATAATGCCCACCAGGAGTAGGGACTGTATATTTCATAACCCGAAATAAATATTGGGTTTTTTTTTTCTTTCAATTATTTATGATCTCTTTCTACAAAGATGCAAGCCCCATGAAGAACTATGTGATTTCTGGGCAAAGCACTGTACCCCAAGCCTTTACAATAATGACTGGCAGCAGAGCTGATGCATGACAAACAGTAAGTAAGTGAACAAGGGGGTAGGTGTTTATTTTCCCTTCTTTTCCCCAAAGGGATTTGCAATAACATGGAAAAGGAGCAAAAGTGGTTGCAATAAGATGGAAAAGATACAAAAGTGAGAGAGGGCACGGGGGCAGGAAAGATGGCGGAATGAGATGGACATCATTACCCTAGGTACGCGTGTGACTGCACATAGGGCGGGTGCTACACGGTGTACAACCAGAGAAATGGAAAGTTGTGCTGCAGTTGTGTACCRCGAACCAAAATGCATTCTGCTGTCATATATACCTAAATAGAATAAATAARTTAATTTWAAAAAATCCTATAAACCTCCATATAACAACAACAAGATACAAAAGTGATGGATGAGCTGGTGGCTGCAACCCAACAGGTGGAGAGGCTGAAAGGTGCGCCGCCTGGTTCTGGGGATTCTGGGCGTCCACTGCAGCTGTCGGACAAACGCCCCGCTGGCCAGCTCGCCCTCGCCACCTCGCTTCTCACTCCTTTCTTGGCCCCGCCCTGCTGGCTGAGTGACAAGAGGAAATGTTTTCCCGCAGGGGACCAGCCTTCTAGGATCGGTGGCTGCTGAATGAAGGACCGCGAGGATCCTGAGCGTGGAAGGTAAAATGGGCAGAGGGAGGCGAGCTGGGGGGGGGGTGCTGGGGGGCTGCGAAGTCGTTCTTTGAAAACTCCTTTGCGCTTTGGGACTGGAGAGGAAAGGKCCTGGGGGAGTGGAAGGAGTGGACACAGCCTGCTGGCCCCCTCTCCAGGAGCCCCGGGGGACCGAGCCCTTTCCTTCCTGCAAGCTGTGACAACCCACACACTGTTTACTCCAGTCCTCCGTGTCTAGGGCTTCCCTGGTCACAGGAGAAAACGAAACTGAAGCAGGACTTGACTTCCTGTTCTTGAGTGTTTTGCGCGGGTTTTTTTTTTTTTTTTCTTTCCTTCTCTGCTCCTTTATTTACACCAGCCTGCCTCATATCGGGTTGTAACCAGAACTGTGTGCTGCAAACTGTGTGCTTCAAAGATTTCATTGCTGGGTGATCGATCATGTTTAAGTTGCACAACTGATTAGACCTGAAGAGGTTGGCTTGGTGAATGATGTCGCTGGTGCCAATTATTGAAATTTTCAAAAGGGGGGCTGACTGTTAATTGAATGAGATCTTAGGAGTCCACCTGAGCACAGTTGGATTAAACCAACACGCCCTGACACACCCGCCTTTCTATTTGTGTAGTATTTATATGCACATGGGTGGGGAGAATATGTATGATTCATTACATTGTTTTTTCGTAAAGAGATGTGATTAGCTCTACAATTCATCGAATGCCTGATATTTGCTACATGCTGTATTTTAATGCCCTTTACACACATGACCTTGTTTATTGTTGTCCCCATTTGAGGAAATTGGGACTCAACTATCTCAGATTACACAATCAGGAAGTTGCCTTCAAAAGTTATACCACCAGGTCCTCAAATTCAGAGTTCACTGAGGTCAGAATTCAATTCTTTCCTTTCCTACTTTGAGTAGGCATTCAAAGTGGACTTGCACCAACTCAACAAAGGCAGGGACGGGCCTGGCTGRTGATAGAAGAAATGCAAAAGGACCCAAGCGATGAAGTGCACTTTTCCTGTTAAATGAATTTTTTTTTTAAGAAATGATTTTTTGTTAGTCAACGCACATATAATGTTGAGAGAGATTTGTTGATATAGATTGAGAATGTTAAACGCAATCAAAACTTTTGACCAGTCATGCAGTTCTTTGAAATCTATCGTAAGATCTATCAAAAGGTAACAAGGTAAAATGAGCTGAATTTGCTGCAACATTCACTCAAAATTATTTAAAAAATCTTGCTTAAAACATTAAGAAAGCACTCAGTCATGGAGAAATGAAACAACTGTGGGATGGCCTATTACACACCACTAAAAAGCTTTAGAAAGATTTTGTGATAACAGGAAATTTTGCATAGTATGACATTAAATGGAAGGAACCAGGATACAAAGTTACTTACACATTCTGACTATTGTTTTTTAAAAGCCCATAGAAAAAATACAGTAAGGGGCTGGGGATGTGGCTCAAGCGGTAGCTCGCCTGGCATGCGTGTGGCCCAGGTTCGATCCTTAGTACCACATACAAACAAAGATGTTGTGTCCGCCGAGAACTAAAAAATAAATATTAAAAAATTCTCTCTCTCTCTTTAAAAAAAAAAAAGAAAGAAAAAATACAATAAAATATTATTCATGACTCTTTCTGGGTAGGGGAACTATAGAGTAATAATGTTCTTATGTTTAATTTAAATATATTCACAATATTCTGTAAGGTAGAAGTTCTGTAAAGAGTAAGTAGATGTATTCACAACAAGTTGCTAGTAAAACTAATGGATATGACTCAAACGTGTTTTCCTGTTCTGAAACGACAGAGTGTCCAGGTGGGATGTCAGAAGGCTGACAGTATTGTTCCTCTTGATACTGCTGGCTGCAGCCAGGTAATCCCAACGCACACTCCAAGGCTCTGACCAAGTCCCAAGGAGAAAAACCATCATTTTCTGAAAGAAAACACAACAAGTTGCAGCCAGTGGCCTGTTACACACCACATCATGAAGACCGATGACCACAAGGCCACCCAGGAGGAACCCATGTCCTGCAGCCGTGGGACWGCTACAGTGGAAGACAGTTGTAAGCTGATTGAGGCTATTCACAAGGAAGATGTGGATGAAATCCAGCAACTGCTGCACAGAGGGGCTGATGTCAACTTCCAGGAAGAAGTAGGGGGTTGGACACCTTTGCATAATGCAGTCCAATGTGGCAGGAAGGACATTGTGGAACTTCTGCTCCGTCACGGTGCTGACCCTCACCAGAGGAAGAGGAACGGGGCCACTCCCTTCATCATCGCTGGGATCATGGGACACGTGGAGCTGCTGCAGCTTTTCCTTTCCGAAGGGGCCGATGTCAATGAGTGTGACTCCAATGGCTTCACAGCTCTCATGGAAGCTGCTGGGCGGGGTAGGATCGAAGCTCTGAGGTTTCTTTATGAGAGCGGAGCCAAGGTGAATCTGCATCGAAACTCTAAAGAGGAACAAAAGCGGCTTAGGAAAGGAGGGGCCACGGCTCTCATGGACGCGGCTGAAAATGGCCATACAGATGTCCTGAGGATTCTCCTGGATGAGATGGGGGCGGACGTCAACGCCAGGGACAATATGGGCAGGAATGCCTTGATGCACGCTCTCCTGTCACGCTCTCCTGATAGCAGTGTGGAGGMTATCACCCGCCTTCTGCTGGATCACGGGGCTGATGTCAAYGTGAGAGGAGAAAGAGGCAAGACGCCCCTGATCCTAGCAGTGGAAAAGAAGCATGTTGGTTTGGTACAGATGCTTCTGGAACAAAAGTGCATAGAGATCGACGACACGGACAGCGAGGGCAAGACAGCCCTGCTGGCTGCTGTGGAACTCAGACAGACGCGGATGGCCGAGCTGCTGTGCCACAAGGGGGCCAGCACGGACTGCGGGCCTCTCGTGAGGACAGCGAAACTGAATTACGACCACTCCCTGGTGAMGCTCCTTCTCTCCTACGGAGCTAGAGTCTGTTTCCAGCCTCCCTCTGAAGACTGGRAGCCCCAGAGTTCACGTTGGGGGTCAGCCCTGAAAAAACTGCACAGAATGTACCGCCCGATGATTGGCAAACTCAAGATATTTATGGATGAAGARTATAAAGTTGCTGAGACTTCTGAAGGGGGCATCTACCTGGGTTTCTACGAGGAGAAAGAGGTGGCTGTGAAGCTATTCCCCGAAGACAGTGCACGTGCAGAAAAGGAAGTCTCCTGTCTGCAGAGCTGCCGAGAGAACAGTAACCTGGTGACACTCTATGGGAGMGAGAGCCACAAGGGCTGTTTGTATGTGTGCGTGGCCCTCTGTGAACGGACTCTGGAAGAGCACTTGGATATGCACAGAGGGAAAGCTGTGGAGAACGAGGAAGATGAGTTTGCTCGAAATGTCCTGTTATCTATATTTAAGGCTGTTCATGAGCTGCACTCGTTGCATGAATACACTCATCAGGATCTGCAGCCAAGAAACATCTTAATAGGTGAGTCCCTATCTCGGTCATTTTTGGTGTGTGTGTGCTGCTATGACAGAGTGCCACAGACTGGGAAATTTATAAAGAATAGAGATTTAGTTCTAGGAAGTTCATTGGCATCTGGCAAGGAACTTCTTGCTGTGCTGTCCGCGGAGGAAGGCTGAAGGGCAGGAAGGACAAGAGAGAAAGAGGAAGCCAAACTTCTTTTACAACAAACCCGCTCTGGATAATGGCATTTGTGAAAGCAGATCCCTCCTGATGAACTCAGCTCCTGAGAGTCCCACCTCTTGACACCAATTATAAACTATAAAACTCCTAGAAGATAACGTAGGAGAGAAATCTAGACACCCTTGGGTTTGGGGATGACTTTTTAGATGAAATATCCAAGACCTGATCTATGGAGGGGAAAAGATGGATAAGCAATAAGAATTAATTGRCTTGATTAAAATATAAACATTTCTGCTCTGTAAAAGGCACTTCAATAGATGAAAAGCAAGCTATATAGCCTGAGAGAAAAAAATATCTGCAAAAAGACATGTCAGTTAGACAGTTGTTACCAAAAAGAACAAAGGACTCTTAAAACTCTAAAATGGAATAACCTGATATTAGAGAAACGGCATTTAGGCTCCTCAGTAGCTGGGTGGAGGGCAGATCCTAACTGCCCACAAACTGTTTATGATTTAATTGCAGAAACTAAGCCTAAGTGTTTGAAAAAAAAATTATAGCATTTTAATATCATCTGTTGAATCTAATAGTAAAAGGTTAAGGCCGAGTGTTAGGAGAACAGTGAAGTGTTCCAGTTAGGCACCTTTGGATTCAAGGGCAGAAAACACAACTCCAAGTGGCTTCAAAAACTAAGGGAAATTATTGGTTCCAGTTACTGAAAACCATCCCTGGATTTCCATGCACACCCTACCTGCCTCTTCAGACTCTTGCAGGCCACTTCCTGACTTCAATCCTGCTCTCTGGACCCTTCTTTCCATCAGATTGGAATTCTCCAGGTTCCTCTCAGCCTTGGGAATTCGTGTCTGGAATTCTACTTCACTTTTTAGTCTAAGTGTTTCTTCCTTAAAGAAGACCGATCCCCACTTTCCCAATCATAGAGCTTTCCTATGACTGATTAACAACCAACCAACAATGCTCTAAATCCAAGACTGTCTCGGCGTAGTGTTCCACTAAATTAAGCTAACCAACCACAATCCAGCTGGACGTTTTAGACAGTTATCACAGAGCATCCTGTACTTTGTGCTAGTATTTCCACAATTGCAATGATATCTTTATATTCATTTGTGTATTTATTCCATTGAATATCTGTCTCCTTGTTCGGAGTCTCTAATCTTAAACTCTTGGATGGGGTACTCCTCTCCCCATCATTTTGCCTCTTAACAAACACATTGAATAATTCAATGGATTCATTTTTGTTAGGCTCTGGATTCCCACSGCTTGAATGTCTAAGTTTGGAATCTAAGGGGTTCTAGAAGCACACCGTTGCACTAGCCTTCACCCTGCTTGGGGTTACCCAGCCTTCCTTCTCAGACTCCTTCAAGCCAGAAGCAGGGACCATATCCTGGGAGAATAAATCACCACCATCCTTTCATAGTGTTCCTGACCCCTCCCATCTATTCATCCCTCTGTCTGAGGGCTCAGTGGCTTTCTTCTAGGGAAAAAGAACCTGAAGGGGACGAGGAAGCAGGGACTTATGATAAGCACATCCCTGCCTAACTTGTCKCGGTGGGCAGTGGATGATGGGCTTACTTTATGGATGGCTGTGCCAAGATGGTCTTGCATGTAGAGTCTGCTGGCTGTTGCTCATTAGTCATGGGATGTCCCCTTAACTCCATCCAGCAGCTGCTTTGCAAATCTGTGCTGTTTGCCTCAGGAACAGCACAAACGGGGAGCCGATTAAATTTATCTTCATCCTTTCCTACTCTCTGGCCTGGAAAAAATAAAATTATGTCCTGCCCCCAGCAGATACCTAATAAATCAAATGTTAACTGCACAGGACAGTTTTTGAGGAGTAAGTAGCATCATTATTTACCTTCTTCAGAGATGATGGATTATACATCATGTTGCATGTTTATTTAAATCAATTGACTGCTGCATCGTGGAGAATGGGTATTTTCCATGCCCTTCTCTGCACTCTCCTGTAGATTCCAAGAAGGCTGTTCGCTTGGCAGATTTTGATCAGAGCCTCAAGTGGACTGGAGACCCACAGGAAATCAGGAGAGACCTGGAGGTAATTCTACAATCTGGTGTTTTCTTTTTCTTCTGCTTCCTTGCTTGTTCATTACCTTAGTGCAAATGGCCGATGAGAGGGGGTTTCCTTTTTAACCGGGAAGGAAAGAACTTTCAAGGCTYCTCCGACCCCCACCACTCTGTGTCCTCACTGTCCTCACTCCTCTGTAGATACTGGCCCCTTCYTGGGCTTCCTCTCATGTCAGAGCTCTTGCAGTGCAGAGGAGAGGTGTCATGGCGGAGCCTGTGAGGCACTGCCTGTCACCTGGTCCCTTTCAGGTCTCTTATTATCGCTTTCTCCCTCCACTAGCTAAATAAGTAACTAAATTGGACATGTCATTCCTCTTTTCTAAGTAATTCCAGGAGGTATTTCCAGATATCACCAAAATTCCTTCAGGAGATATTTTCTGCCTAAGGATAATGTGAATGAGACTTCTTTTCCCCWCTCTGTTCAAACACATGCCCTCAGCTCCAAGAAAGTCAGCTACTGAGGCCCCACGAAAACTCCAGGGAGGGGTGGGGTTGATCCTCAACTGGGAAAGAGACAAAACTTGGCCCCCAATTTAATTCCCTGACATAGCTGTTTCTCCTGAAAGGACACAGAGCCTGGCCCTGCAGACCAAAGCCCCTGGCGGATCTGGCTTCTATGGGGGCATTTCTTTCCAGGAGAGTGACCACTGGGCAGGAGCTCATCACCCGTGTCTGGCCTCTTGGTTTGGCAGCTRCAGATGTCAGCTCCTCCCCTGGCTGATGGCTAGTGCCGAGGGTCCTGTGCTGGCCTCCTTCTCTGCCTCTCCTCCCTGCCGTGGTCTAACTCCTGGGTTACACTGTGCTGTTTCCCACCTGCACGGTCTCTATCATCTGCTGCCCCATGTAACCCTGGACCTGAAATCCCAGTTCTCAGCCAGTCCCCTGGTATTCACCTTGTTTAGAAACACTCTCCCTTCTCTGATTTCTCTATGTTCCATCAGTGCATTTGACATCCACCTCCAATCTCTCTTCCTGCATGTCACCCCCCTGACCCCCCCMAAAAAAACCCTGTACCCTGGGATTCCCTTTTAAACTGTGTGGACCATACAGTACTTTGAAGAATTCTATACATGAATCTGTGTCTTCTCTCCCTGCAGGCTCCTAGAGATTTCTTCTAGCACACATTATCCAAAGTTACCCAAATCGAGAGGTAATTCATAAGCCCCTTTGGCTTGATTTCTGGTTTTATGTAGGCCCTTGGGCGGCTGGTCCTCTATGTGGTAAAGAAGGGAGAGACTCCTTTTGAGAAGCTAAAGGCTCAAGGCAATGCAAAGGTGATTGAACTTTCTCCAGATGAGGAAATTAAGGACCTCATTGATCACCTGTTCTGTCCTTTGGAACCTGTGAAGGACCATCTGGGTGACCTTCTGGATCATCCTTTCTTTTGGAGTTGGGAAAAGTAAGTAAAACTCAAGTGTGGA